CCACTCCGGCGGCCTGGTGCCAGCCTAGAACCCTCCTCATGCTGAGTGGAGCGCAATGCTGGGCTTCCCTGGCCCTCCCCCTCTCCCAGGGGAGAGTTGATGCCTCCAGGCAGGAGCTTGGAGAGATCTCCGCAGGGCATCGGGACTTTGGAGGTAATGTGACTTCACTCTCTCACCTCCTCCATGTGCCATTAAGCCTCTGCCGCTCTTCTTTCCAGCCCAGAGCAGCAAATGTGTCTGCAGAGAAGCATCGGAGTGCGAGGAAGGCGGCCTTAGCGTCTGCGTGGAAGTGAACGGTGTGGAGCAGACGATGACCGAGTGTGCGGCCGGCGCGCTCAGGTGCCAAGGGCAGGGCGTCAGGGTCACCAGCACGTGGCCCTGCGGAGCGGGGACCCCGTAGGCTCCCGTGGCCCTTGGCTGGTTCCGAATCCTGCAGCTGCCGTGGCTGAGGTAAAACGTACATACGGTCACTTCTCCCAACTGCCAGCCACCAGTAGAAGCACCGACCTGCGTTCTGCCAAACCTGAACCGAGATGCTCCTGTTCTTCCTATTTAAAATGCCAGTCAGGATGAACAGTACGCACGAACCTTTGCATGAGTTGTGTGTTCCTGGACAAATTGCTGACACGCCTGGACCTTGACTTTTTAATCTGAAAATGAGAGGATTAGACCGGAGAGCCTGGAATACTCCCTTCAGCCCTATGATTCTTTTAAGTATGATGGATTCCACCCATGGGCCCGAAACACTGTACAAAAGGATTAGGAAAACGGTAAGATTAGAGAGGTTGGCTTCTCTCAGTGAAGCTGAATGCAAACGGGACCTTAAATGGAAAAAGACAGATACAAATATCCATCCCAAGGAGTAATCTCTCGCCTGGCCCTGTGGACTCCAGTACCACATGTAAGGATCCTTAAATATTACTGGGAAATGGAACCGCTGAAATTTCAGAACCGAGTTTATTGTGGTACCTTCTGCCTTCTTGTCGAACAACAAACACAATCCCGTCTTCTCTTTGGGGCTTTTCTTTAGTGTGTGTCAAACACGAGGACTGTAATTTGCCCACTTTCTCCCCTTTTCTTCTGTAGGAAACATCAGTTCATGCCTGGGCTGTTGAGTGATCATATATTTGACAGAATAGTTTTCTCTAATGTGAATACATGCTTGGATTTCTCAGAGGGCCATACAGGTACATCAGTGTGAGACATTGGCCTTCTATTTATTCCTTATTCATCTTTCATCAAAACAAAAAACTAGCTGTGGGAGATGACATGAGTGGGCTTAAATGGAATTTAAAATATGCTTTTATATACAAATAATATCTGTGTACTTTTCTGATACTGATAAAGACATTTCAGCAAAACCTTAGTTAAAATGACAGTGATTAAAATCTCATTAAAGATACTATCCTTTGGAATTTTTTGATCTGTATCATGTTTAATTTTAAAGAATCTTCCCATGAAGAATGGCTAATGTGTTCTTTTTAAATATATTTTTATTCTTTAAACTACTTTATTGAGGTATGATTGACATGTAAAAAGCTGTACTGATTTAATATGTACAACTGGATGCGTCTGGGGAGAAGTATATACCAATCAAGACCATAAACCTATCCATCACCTCCCAAAGTTTTCTCCCACCTCTCTTATTATCTTTCTTATTTCTTATTTATTCTTATTTCTCACTTATTTTTATTAAAAATGTCACCTAAGATCTTTCTTCTTAGAAAATCTTAAGTATATGTGAAAGGATTGTTAGCTATAGGCACTATAGCACATAGCTACAGCAATGCTATGTAGTGGATCTCCAGAACTTACTCATCTTGCATAACTAAACCTTGGCACTCTTTAAGCATCACATCCCCGAATGCCCTTCTCCTCAGCCCCTGGCAGCCACCATTCTACACTCTGCTTTATGAATTTGACTTTTATTTTATTATTTATTTATTTGAGAGAGAGGAGCGGGGAGAGGCGAGAGAGAGAGAGAGAGAGAGAGACAGAGAGAGAGAATCCTAAACAGTCTCCACACTCAGTCCAGAGCCCTACGTGGGGCTCAATCCCATGACCTTGGGATCATGGTCTGAGCCAAAATCGAGAGTCAGATACTCAACCAACTGAGCTACCCAGGCATCCCTTGAATATTTTAGATCATACCTATACGTGAGATCATCTAGAATTTCTTTCTTTGTTTGGTTTATTTCATTTAGCGTAGTGTCCACATTCTTGTCCACCCACATTGTTGTAAATGGCAGGATTTCCTTCCTTATGAAAGGCTGAATAATATTCCATTGTGTGTATGGAAAATGTACCACATTTTCGTTATTCATTCATCCCTGGATGAACACTTAGGTTGTTTCTGTATCTTGGCTGTTGGGAATAATGCTGCAATGAACATGGGAGTGCAGCTACCTCTTTGGGATCCTGATTTCAATTCCTCTGGATATTTGCTCGGAAGTGGAATTACTAGATCCCATGGTAGTTTTATTTATAACTTTTTGAGGAACCTCCATACTGTTTTCCACAATGGCTGTCTCAATGTGTTCCTACTTGAAATCCACGTAGGATCCAGGTCTAGCTTTATATACCACATTGTCCCTTGAGTGAAGAGTCAGATAGAATATATGGAAGTTATAAGGAGGCAGGTTTAAATAGATTGAAAATAATAATGTTCAGAAATGCTTAATTGAGGCCAACTGCATTTGTTAGAGGTTATAAGGGAGTTAATTTCTACCCTGGGTAGGGAGACAGATTTGAAATTTCAGGCCCAGATGCAGATCCAAAAACCAAGTTGAACAAGTAATTTATTTGGGAGGAAGAGATCAGTATCCTTTCAATAACTTCTCCTTTTGTCTTAAGCTAGTATAAGGTTAAATTTCTACTACTTGTGCTCTACCACCCTCCCTTCCTAATTGATACAGAGGATATGGTAAACATTATCGAATGCTATAGGAGAGGTCAAATGAGGTCTGAAGCAAAGAAATTAGCAGATTTGACAACTAAGATTTGAGAAAGAAGTTTCACAGACTTAGTGAAGGAGAAGTAAGGGGTTAGTGAATAGTTGGTGGAGAAGGAGGGAGCAGGAATGAGGTAGAGAGATGCCATCTTGAAGTATTAAATTTTGTACTTTCTTTCTTTTCTGAACATTCTTACACTCAACCTTTCTTCTAGTTAGGGATGTTCATGATTGCTTATAAGAGTATTAGGATCATTGCAGTAAATCTGCAAGGAGAAAGTAACTTTCAACATTAAGTCTTTTAAAGTGTTTTGAAACTTGAAAATAAGCTCTTGAACATCTAAATAGAAGGCTCGGGGGAAAGCTAGGAGGACTGTTTATGCCATGAAAATTGACTGCAAAGAGAAGAGAGGGAGTGTGAGAATTCCTCCCGTTTGCCCTTCCCGCTGCCTCGGACCAGGTGAGGGTCATCTGGGTTAGAGAGGGCTATAGCCTTGGAGGAGAAGGCAGAAAGTGCTGGCATTAAAGCCTCTGGACCTAGTGGGGGACAGAAGAAGAGGAGGGAATTGGCAGGTGCATTAACCATCCCTAGCCTCAGCGAGGTACATGGGAGCCAAGCCTCATCCTCCACATCATCACTCACAATTTAAGTGGACACAGCAAGTCACCCAGGCAGAGAAGCTGCTTTGGAAGATCTGATCACATTGGAGAGTGTCTTCTTGTGACATTTCCTAATAACTGACCAAATGGAAGTGCTGCTTATCAATGCCCTCAGATTTAGTGAACCTCATCCAGACTGCTCTGCATATAACCTCCCTCCCTTCCACCAACAATCTGGGACACTTGTAATCTCCTGAAACAGAGGAAGGTTCTTATACTCAGGTGAGGGGTACTGGGAGTGTGGGGTGGCAAGCAGAAGTATCTGACAAATGCACCCCGGACCTCTGAGTTACCTGGCAACTGGCCAGCTAACTGGTTAATTGGATCGAGGGCTCCCCTTCTCAGCTGGGAAGGTCATGACTAATCTCAGCTTCATGTGAGAATTATGATCCCATTCTGTTGTGAAGTAGTCACTTTGAGCTGCAGGTGCTGGGCAGATCGTGTAACCAGCATTCCCTAAAACAGGTTGTTATGTGCCTTTACCTTTGGGTTAAGATAAATATGTGTATTAAGGAATACTTTTGAACCCCATAGCTTATCATCTGTTCTATATTTTCTCTCTGTGGATACCAAAATTTCTTACTCCCACACACTCACTAACCCACCATAAGCATTTGGGTTATTTCGTTTTGTAAAAAAATGTTCATTTTTGGGGCGCCTGGGTGGCTCAGTCGGTTAAGCGGCCGACTTCGGCTCAGGTCATGATCTCGCGGTCCATGAGTTCAAGTCCCGCGTCAGGCTCTGTGCTGACAGCTCAGAGCCTGGAACCTGTTTCAGATTCTGTGTCTCCCTCTCTCTGACCCTCCCCCATTCATGCTCTGTCTCTCTCTGTCTCAAAAATAAATAAACATTTAAAAAAATTAAAAAAATAAATAAATAAAAATGTTCATTTTTGAGGGAGAAAGAGAGAGAGGGAGGGAAGGGGGGGAGAGAGAGAGAGAGAGAGAGAGAGAATATGAGGGGAGAGGGGCAGAGAGAGAGGGGGGGGACAGTGGATCCGAAGCTGGCTCGGTGATGACAGGAGAGAGTCCGACACAGGGCCGGAAATCATGAACCACAAGATCATGACCTGAGCCGAAATCAGATGCTTAGTTAACTGAGCCAGCCAGGTGCCCTGGCATTTAGATTATTTCTAATAGCTAGTGGAAGTGGTCATCATAAACTTGAAGATAAACTGAAATGCTATGTACTTTGGGTACAAAATGAAGTAGGTGTTCAAGTGTACCTGTTCTTTTTCTGAGGTAGGAGAGGGGTGGGAAGGGACAAGACAAGAGAAAAGAAATGAAAGAGAGGAGAGAGAATCATTTTTAGTACAGGATTAGCAGAAATGAACAGCCACATTTGCCTTGCTACCTACCAGTCCACTGAGATTTTTCCTTCTGGATGGACTAAAGTGTATTCAACACTTGTGCTAGAAATGGAATGACCTGTTTCTTTTTCAGAACACCGAGCCAGAAAGCAACCACAGTAGGAGGCAATTTCCGTTAATATCTGAGAAACCAGAGGTATATGCATGCCTTTCAATTACCTTGGTCTTTCAGGCAGCTCACACATTCGGGGACAGGAAAGCTGATGGCATGATAGGAATCCCTGCTGTGACAACCAAAGCACTTACAATTTGTCTTTTTATTTATTCCTGTCAGGCAAAGCTCCAGATTTACACTCAAAACATCAATCATGTAAGGAAATTTGCTTTTCCAAGCCAAGGGTTAACAAGACTGTATAGAAAGACTGTCGTTGTTTGAGAAGAAATGGGCTGATGGTGACTAGATGCATAGGAGAAGAAAGAC